CCGCCCTGGAGTCCCCCTCGCTGTCTGCCCGCTGCCCCCGGCAGGAGAGGAGGATAAGGAGGGTCCCGGCCAGGAGCACCCCCGGCCCCCCGGCTGCCATTCTGGGGGTCCCCTTTGTTTTCCTTCGCCCCGGGCTGAGGCTGCAGAGTGTGTGACGCTCCCTACAGCCAGTGACTGCCCAGAGCCCCGCCCCGCCCGGCAGCACCTCCCCCAGGCAGCGCCTCCCCCAGGCACCGTGTGCAAAGTGACAGCCGCTCTCCGAGCCGCACAGACTGCAGGGCTCTCCCCAGCCAGTGCCAACCCAATACCAACCCAGTACCAACCCAATACCCAGCCAGTGCCAACCCGGTACCAACCCAATACCCAGCCAGTACCAACCCAATACCAACCCAGTACCCAGCCAGTGCCAACCCAATACCCAGCCAGTACCAACCCAGTACCCAGCCAGTGCCAACCCAGTACCCAGCCAGTACCAACCCAGTACCCAGCCAGTGCCAACCCAGTACCAACCCAATACCCAGCCAGTGCCAACCCAGTACCCAGCCAGTGCCAACCCAGTACCAACCCAATACCCAGCCAGTGCCAACCCAGTACCCAGCCAGTGCCAACCCAGTACCAACCCAATACCCAGCTAGTGCCAACCCTGGCACCAACCCAATACCCAGCCAGTACCAACTCCACACCAACCCAGTAGTGACCCAGTACCCAGCCAGTGCCAACCCAGTACCAACCCAATACCCAGCCAGGCACCCAGTACCCAGCCAGTGCCAACCCAGTACCAACCAATGCCTAACCCAGTACCCAGCCAGTGCCAACCCTAGTACCAACCCTAATACCCAGCCAGTGCCAACCCAATACCCAGCCAGTGCCAACCCAGTACCAACCCAATACCCAGCCAGTGCCAACCCAATACCCAGCCAGTACCCACCCAATACCAACCCAATACCCAGCCAGTGCCAACCCAGTACCCAGCCAGTGCCAACACAGTACCCAGCCAGTGCCAACCCAATACCAACCCAATACCCAGCCAGTACCCAGCCAGTGCCAACCCAGTACCCAGCCAGTGCCAACCCAATACCCAGCCAATGCCAACCCAATACCAACCCAGTACCCAGCCAGTGCCAACCCAATACCGAGCCAGTGCCAACCCAATACCCAGCCAGTACCCACCCAATACCCAGCCAGTACCAACCCAATACCCAGCCAGTGCCAACCCAATACCCAGCCAGTGCCACCCCAATACCCAGCCAGTACCAACCCAATACCACCCAGTACAACCCAATACCACCCAGTACCAACCCAATACCCAGCCAGTACCAGCCCCGTACCAACCCAATACCAGCCCCTACGAACCCAATACCACCCAATACCAGCCCCTACGAACCCAATACCAGCCCAGTACCACCCAATACACAGCAAGTGCCACCCAGTACCAACCCAATACCACCCCAGTACCAATCCAGTACCACCCCAATACCCAGCCAGTGCCACCCAGGACCAACCCAGTACCAACCCAATACCCAGCCAGTGCCACCCAGTGCCAGCCCAGTACCAACACAGTGCCAGCCCAATACCACCCAAGTACCAACCAATACTACCCAGTACCAACCCAATACCAACCCAATACCCAGTGCCAACCCAATACCCAGCCAGTACCAACCCAATACTCAGCCAGTACCCACCCAATACCACCCAATACCCAGCCAGTACCACCCAGTACCAACCCAATACCACCCAACACCCAGCCAGTACCAACCCAATACCACCCAGTACAACCCAATACCAGCCAGTGCCAACCAGTACCAACCCAATACCCAGCCAGTACCATCCCAATACCCAGCCAGTGCCAACCCAATACCACCCAGTGCCAGCCCAGTACCAACCCAACACCAACCCAATACCCAGCCAGTGCCAGCCCATTACCAACCCAATACCACCCAGTGCCAACCCAACATCCAGCCAGTACCACCCCAGTACCAACCCAATACCCAGCCAGTACCACCCAGTACCAACCCAATACCCAGCCAGTACCAACCCAATACCACCCAGTACCAACCCAATACCCAGCCAGTACCACCCAGTACCAACCCAATACCCAGCCAGTACCAACCCAACACCCAGCCAGTACCCACCCAACACCCAGCCAGTACCACCCAGTACCAACCCAATACCCAGCCAGTACCAACAGAGTACCAACCCAATACCAACCCAATACCCAGTGTCAACCCAATACCCAGCCAGTACCAACCCAATACTCAGCCAGTATCACCCGATACCACCCAGTACCAGCCAGTACCAACCCAATACCACCCAGTACCAACCCAATACCCAGCCAGTACCAACCCTGTACCACCCAATAACCAGCCAGTACCACCCAGTACCCAGCCAGTACCAACCCAATACCACCAAGTACAACCCAATACCACCCAATACCCAGCCAGTGCCAGCCAGTACCAACCCAATACCCAGCCAGTACCAACAGTGCCAACCCAATACCCAGCCAGTACCAACCCAATACCCAGCCAGTACCAACCAGTACCAACCCAATACCCAGCCAGTACCAACCCAGTGCCAACCCAATATCCAGCCAGTACCAACCCAACACCAACCCAATACCCAGCCAGTACCAACCCAATATCCAGCCAGTACCAACCCAGTACCAACCCAACACCCAGCCAGTACCAACCCAATACCCAGCCAGTACCAACCCAATACCCAGCCAGTACCAACCCAGTGCCAACCCAATACCCAGCCAGTACCAACCCAATACCCAGCCACAGTGCCACCCAATACCCAGCCAGTACCAACCCAATGCCAGCCAGTGCCAGCCCAGTACCAACCCAATACCACCCAGTGCCAGCCCAGTACCAACCCAATACCCAGCCAGTGCCAACCCAGTACCAACCCAATACCCAGCAAGTACCAACCCAGTGCCAGCCCAATACCCAGCCAGTACCAACCCAATACCAGCCAGTGCCAACCCAGTACCACCCAATACCTAGCCAGTACCACCCAATACCCAGCCAGTGCCAGCCCAGTACCAACCAAATACCACGCAGTGCTAACCCAATACCCAGCCAGTACCACCAGTACCAGCAAGTACCACCCCGTACCAACCCAATACCCACCCAGTGCCAACCCAATATCCAGCCAGTACCAACCCAACACCAACCCAATACCCAGCCAGTACCAACCCAATATCCAGCCAGTACCAACCCAGTACCAACCCAACACCCAGCCAGTACCAACCCAATACCCAGCCAGTACCAACCCAATACCCAGCCAGTACCAACCCAGTGCCAACCCAATACCCAGCCAGTACCAACCCAATACTCAGCCAGTACCACCCAGTACCAACCCAATACCCAGCACCAACCTAATACCACCCAGTACTAACCCAATACCCAGCCAGTATCAACCCAGTACCACCCAATAACCAGCCAGTACCACCCAATACCACCCAGTACCAGCCCCTACGAACCCAATACCAGCCCAGTACCACCCAATACACAGCAAGTGCCACCCAGTACCAACCCAATACCACCCCAATACCCAGCCAGTACCACCCAGGACCAACCCACTACCACCCAGTGCCAGCCCAGTACCACCCAGTACCAACCCAATACCCAGTGCCAACCCAATACTCAGCCAGTACCACCCAATACAACCCAATACCCAGCCAGTGCCAACCCAATACCCAGCCAGTACCAACCCAATACCCAGTACCAACCCAATACCACCCAATAACCAGCCAGTACCACCCAGTACCAACCCAATACCCAGCCAGTACCAACCCAATACCACCTAGTACCAGCCCAGTACCACCCAATACACAGCAAGTGCCACCCAGTACCAACCCAATACCAACCCAGTACCACCCCAATACCAACCCAGTACCCACCCAGTACCAGCCCAATACCACCCAATACCCAGCCAGTACCAGCCCCATACCAACCCAATACCAGCCCCTACGAACCCAATACCAGCCCAGTACCACCCAATACCAACCCAGTACCCAGCCAGTGCCACCCAGTACCAGCCCAATACCACCCAAATACCTGCCCAGTACCACCCAATGCCCAGCCAGTACCAACCCAATACCACCCAATGCCCAGCCAGTACCAACCCAATACTACCCAATACCACCCAATACCCAGCCAGTACCAGCCCCATACCAACCCAATACCAGCCCCTACAAACCCAATACCAGCCAGTACCACCAAATGCCACCCAGTACCAGCCCAATACCACCCAAATACCACCCAAGTACCAATGTTATGGGCAAATGCAAATATTACAAGTTTTAGAATGAAATTTATTTCTTAAACTGTGTACTTTGTCTTTAAGAGATATTGCAAACTGACAAGGTGTTAGAAATGGAACACATTGTTTTTCATAACTGTTTCTTTAAGCAATAACCTCAGTGCATAATATGTTTGCGCCATTTTGTCCCAGACAAATTACAATAACAATAATGCATAAACAAGCCTCAAGGCTATACTACGACACTTGCAGTACACAATATACTGTGGTAACCCCAAGTTAATGGAACTTCCCCAAAACCGGGAATCTCCCACGACTGTGCACTTACGTCTTAGTATAAACAACAGATAAGCTATTCAGACTTTAAGATGCCATCTTGAACTAAGTCAGGAAAATTTCCATGACGTTTGCACCCTTTAGTTATGGCCTTGTATGTTTGCCAAGTTAAGGGAGGTCCTAAAATGAATAAAGTAAATTAACTACGGTAACCCTAAAATGGAGACACCTAAGGTATAAATAGGTGTACTTTTAAATGTTAAGACACAGAGGAGAGACTTGGAGACAGACGCTGCTCCATCTTAAAATGACAGAGAGGCTGACATGATGACATGTTCAGAAGGGTATGTTAACCTATTAATGATATTTTCAAGCATGTAATTTAATCTTATAAACTCTGCTATAATGGATTTTATATTTTTATATAATAAATATCCAAAAAGACAAAACGATTGCTTCCAAGACAATCCTTATTTTATATTGTATTCTCAATTATTTATATATGTTAAATAGAGGATCTCTTACTAACTATATAAAATTATGGCTAAGATATCTGTATGGTTAGCCCTACTAAATTCTATGCTTTAAGACATTATAGTTGTAAATAAGGGAACCACCTGCGGTTACACCAACCAAGTGCCAACCCAATACCAAGCCAGTGCCACCCAGTACCAACCCAATACCACCCTGTACCAACCCAATAGCAACCACTACCCAGTGCCTGTACCAGCCCATTAACACCCAGTGCCATCTTGTACCAACCCAATACCACCCAGTGCCAGCCTGTATCAACCCAATACCACCCAGTGCAGCTCAATTCGACAAAGGTGCCAAACCAATACCAGCTCAATACTGTGCCAAGCCAATACCAGCCTGTGCCAATGCAATACCAGCCTGAACCACCCCAATACCAGCCTGTGCAAATGCAATACCACCCCAATACACTCCTGCCTGGCGCCAACCAACTGGACAGGTAATCTATATTGGCCTACCCTCCTGCGCCGTACGAACTAAGGCAACCAGTAATTTGTATAGTATTTGATCCTGCATAGTGCCAAGTCAGTGTACATTATTTTTTTGCATAGAAGTATTTATCAAGAATATCTAATCGCTCGTATTTTGGCACACCAGTTACTTTTAAAGAGTTTCTCTCATATAAAGATGATGTGATGCTGCCCCCTGCAGGCTGTTTACATGCCTGCAAGTTAACATTATAAAGAGTATTATTTAGCAAGCTGTCAAATAGACCTTTCTAACCAGTTATTTTAATATGATTTTTGCAATTTGTTAATCACATTTCCATCAATTCATGGTTCACCATAAAATCCTATGATTACATGTTAGTGGTGCAGAATTAAGGCTAAACTATTTTCTGATTAACTCCCCATTGCATGAACTGTGTCCAGTTGGAACAGGGCTCTAAGTCCTACCAGGCTGGACACACTGGAACTGTAGTAGAGAGTATTAAAGCCACCATGTTGGTTAATAAGAGGGCTTTGATTGGACACGGAGCCCTGTTACCTCCCAACTGCTACTGAAGAGGTCGTCATAGATGGATCATTATAAAAAGATGTTTCAAATTGACCCAAATGCTTTCAATAAATTGAGTTTACACACACACAAAAAAAAAAAATCCTAGATGTGCAATTATTTCCCATTGCGGTCCTGAGGAGCAGCATGTATGGGGGTTAATGAGGTATAAACAGAATAGGTGGGCACGTAGCAGACATTCATCGATCATGCATTCCCCTCCAATGTCCTGAACATGTAGCAGCATATATTGCATGTGATTCAATGGGAGGTATTGATTTATTGAAATAAACACTGCATGTCCGTTCCTGGGCCAAATCTGAGAGGGAGCTTCGGCTTCATTTTATCCGTTCTTCTGACAGAAGAGGTTTGTATTTACATAAAATAAAAATTGATATTAAGAGAAAGCATGACAACTTTTGGCCAGTAAAGAGGGAAATACAGCAAAATAACACAAGGTTTGCTGCATGTCATGACTTTAATGTGTAACTACAGAATCCATACATACATGTGGGTCAACTGAAAGCCTACAAAATACAACACAGGACCAATACATTTACAAAACAGTCAAAATTTCTTACAAAATGGCCTGTATTGGTCCAGGATTTATTTATTTTTTTCTTTACAAACTCAAGTCTTGTTTCGAGGGGTAAAGGGAGGCAGCTAATAACTCCTTAAAGCAAGCTCCCACATTGATCATTTACAATTGTCAAAAATAAAATAAAATAGTGTTTGGTTCTCTTTACAAGCCAAATGGCAGAAGCTCGTCACACCCTGGTGAAACGTTCTGATCAGCTGGAGGCAGAGATTAACTGTACACAGTACCCATCACCCCACCCAGCCTTACAGAGGACAGAGTCTGTAAACAAAGTGAAAGCAGTAGGATTGACAAGTATTTAAAGAGCACAGCACAGGCCTTCAAAGGCTGCAGGAATAAACTTGACTTTGTTGCTTAGCGCAGAGGGAGCTGTGACCTTTAAATAGGCTCAGAGTTATTTCCCCAGCTGTTCCCCGTCACACCCCATTGCCACACAAGTGCTTGGTGTCCAGCAGTCCCACTCACTAGCAAAAAGTTCATCTGCTGAAGAGTTGCCCAGGCAAACCTCTGGAAGTGAAGCAGTTAATAACCATAACCTCCCACAGCCTGCCAGTGCAGCGCCAACCCATGAAAAGACCAGCCCACACTAAGAGGGTTATGTTTTTGTTGCATTTGAGATCAGTATTTACAAGAGATCAAGAAAAGAAAAATATATATATATATATTCACAACATTCTAACAGTTTTGGCCAAATATTGGACATATGGGAGTATGAGGGAAAAACTAAAATTTGCCAGACTTCATTCCACCACCCCATTCAAAACAGAAGATATGTCATCCTGCCGACTCCTGGCTCAAATTTGTGCTGTGAATGATATGGCCATCAGGTGCAGGGGGAGCGGGACATTTTGGGGAAAAACAAAAATAAATTTGCAAAAAAGTTAAACGTGTACAGTTGGGGATTCTTCACATTAGACGTTTGTTGTTCAGGCTCAGAGCAGTTGGAATCAGTTTTCTGAAAAGCAGGCTCCTAACTGGCACCTGTGCCTTCCATCACTTGCTGGGCTTGTTTCTGCCCCATACAGCACTGAGCGACAGACTGGAACAACCTAGGGAGGAAGAGACCGGTCAGCTCATTGACACCAATCACATTCGGATCAGTTAAAAGGGATGATTAGTAACACTGGCAGTATAAGGAGACAGGTCACCCTTATAAAGAGTGTGGTACAAGCTAAGCTGGGAAGAGCACTGTGGGGATGGGTGGGGGAGGAAACCCTGTCCCAGGTTGGTGGGTGGGAAAAAAAAAAAGACCGTCACAGATGGGTAAAAAAAAGACAGTCACAGGTGAGGTGGGGGGGAAAGAGACCGTCACAGGTGAGGTGGGGGGGTCACGGGTCACAGGTGAGGTGGGGGGGAGGAAAGACCGCCACAGGTGAGGTGGGGGGAGAAAGACCGCTACAGGTGAGGTGGGGGGAAAGAGACCGCTCAAGCAGGTGAGGTGGGTGGGGAAAGACCGCCACAGGTGAGGTGGGGGAAAGAGAGATCACAGGTGAGGTGGGGGGGGTCAGCAGGTGAGGTGGGGGGGGCCACAGGTGAGGTGGGGGGGTCAGCAGGTGAGGTGGGGGGGAGGAAAAGACCGCTACAGGTGAGGTGGGGGGAGAAAGAGACCGCTACAGGTGAGGTGGGGGAGAAAGAGACCAAGCCACAGGTGAGGTGGGGGAGAGAAAGAGACTGCCACAGGTGAGGGGGTGGGGGGGGGAAAGACCGCCACAGGTGAGGTGGGTGGGGAAAGACCGGGCCACAGGTGAGGTGGGTGGGGAAAAGAGACCGGCTACAGGTGAGGTGGTGGGAAAAGTGAGACCACAGCAGGTGAGGTGGTGGGGGAAAGAGACCGGGCTACAGGTGAGGTGGGTGGGGGAAAAAGAGACCACAGGTGAGGTGGGTGGGGAAAGACCGCCACAGGTGGTGAGTGGGGAAAAGAGACCACAGGTGGGTGAGTGGGGGAAAAGAGACCGCCACAGGTGGGTGAGTGGGGAAAAGAGACCGCCGCCAGGTGGTGAGGGGAAAAGAGACCGCCACAGGTGGGTGAGTGGGGAAAAGAGACCGCTACAGGTGGGTGAGTGGGGAAAAGAGACCGTCACAGGTGGGTGAGTGGGGAAAAGAGACCGTCACAGGTGGGTGAGTGGGGAAAAGAGACCGTCACAGGTGGGTGAGTGGGGAAAAGAGACCGTCACAGGTGGGTGAGTGGGGAAAAGAGACCGTCACAGGTGGGTGAGTGGGGAAAAGAGACCGTCACAGGTGGGTGAGTGGGGAAAAGAGACCGTCACAGGTGGGTGAGTGGGGAAAAGAGACCGTCACAGGTGTGGATAGATCTAATCAGATTTAAGACAAGCTAACAGTTGTGAAATTAACTTACTTCTCAATTTCTGGCGCACAGTGAACAAACTCATGGTTCCAGAACTTGAAGGCTGGGTTCTTAATTAGCTCAATAAAGGTAATCAGGAGGCCCCATGGGTGTGGCCTGTTCACAATTAACCGCTCCAACAGAACCCTACAGAGGGGAAAGTGAGAAAAAGAAAGCAAGATTTCAGTCTAAACGTTTACCATTTTAATTTCGCTTTATTCTGCAGCATGATACGAGCACATGGTATGAAAGACTGGGATGGACTATAGACACAACCTCGGGGGCACATTTCATGTTGACTTCGGAATTACTGTAGCTAAAGAGGTAGTGGCGCCCCACCTGGTTATCTGCTCCTGGATGGCTTCAGTGTTTGCCTCAGCGAAGAGGTAAAGCATGGTGCAGCTGAAGTAGTGAGTGTGGCTATTGGGATAACGCAGCTGATTGGCAATCGCGTTCAAGAACAGGTAACGACCTAAAGAGAATAAAACAATGAATTGTAAATAGCTCTGCAGGATTTTAGGCCACACAGCCCTGCAATAAAACCTCACCTTCAGTGTCCAGGTCCACGGCCAGATTCTGGAAGATGTCCATGTGAGCAGAGTGTGTGATGGTGCTCATGGATGGAGTGCTACCCTTATTGTGGATGTGAGCAATCGCTTGTGTCCCCACATACAGTACTAAAGCATTTATCAGCTGGATGTTGTATCTGTTTCCAGGCTCGTTCGATACCTAGAAAGCCACAGGAGGGGGCAGAAAGGTAAGTTGCAAGCCCGCTTCTAGAGGGCAAACTCCAGCTCCTCTCGGCATTCTGTGCATTTACCTGCAGGTTGCTGCGGAGTTCCGATAGGAACGTGACCGGGGACCGGGTTTTAAGGTAAGAATCCAAGTCCTTCTTGAACTGTGGAGGCATCACTCCCGTAAAGTTTGTAAGGATTCGAGGGGCAATGTTTATCTCGCTTAACATGTCCACCTAGAAGCCAAGATAAACAGGATGCAATAAATCCCTGCTTGATGAGATACTCAAACTGCATGCAGGAATCCAGTTCTACGTGGAAAGTCTAAACCCAACAGTATAACCTGTCCCCAAGCTCTCCGGCTGTAATCTGCTTACTGTATTGGCAGCTACCAGCGTTAAAGGAGCACGGGTCATTCTGTCGCACCACAGCGTAGCCACTGTCCAAGTACAGACACTGGTTTAAAAAAATGGTGCCTTATTACACTACCATACCACTAACTAGCAGGACACAACCACCTAACATTGCAGACTTGATTGGTTCCATGGTGCCAGCAGTAGGCTCTATATACAAAGCTTGATGCGATTACTGAATTGCCAATACCTTGAGGTTGGGGGTAAAAGGATCCGGAAGTCTCATGTTTCGTGGGAAGGCACTCAGAATTAGGTTCCTCAACTGGATGCAGTTGGGTGGAATCACATCACAGAAGCCGTAGTGATAGTCACACAAGAACTCTGGGAAGTCATGAAGTAGCACAAGCAATACACGCAGGGTGCCCTGTACAAAACAGTGGGACACACCATCAAAACAGGAAGTGGAAGCGTCAGCAGAACATTCGGTATCAGCATTCCCTGTGTGACATACCTTATAGAGGATTTGCATAGGTTTGGTGAGTTCCACATTCCTCAGAAATGGAGCGAGGTACTTAAAGAGGTCAATGAGTAGCTGTGCGTACATGGGCCAGCCCTGTGTAAGTAAATAGAGGGGTTCAGTTCACATGGTCACTACACACGCACACATATACCTCCAGCTTAGATCAGCTCACCTTCTGTTGCGGGGTGTGAGCCAACATTCGAGCAATAAATATACGATGAGAGATTAGTTCCAGCCAGGCATAGACAAACCCTGCTGCTTTGGTTGGCCGGAGGATATGGAAGGTATTGCTGCAAGAGAGATAGCTGTTAATTTATCTTGCAGGAAACTGCAAATTAACGGTTCAGAGAGTACAGATAGAATTAACGGCATTTCTATATGCTACACGACTTCTCTCAGAGAGCTCAAATTAGACAATGATAGTGGATCTAGGTGCAAACATACCAAAATGCAGTCAGTGTCTGAAAGTTTATGGTTTCTAAGACATGTTCAGGTGCATTCAACTCCAGCAAAAGCATGATGAATATCCGATGGTATGGCAGCTGCTGGAATTCACTCTGTCTTACTTCATGGTCTTGTAATAAGACTCCCACCACAATACCAAGAACCTGTCACAGGGAGAAGGTGTAAGCACATCACAGAGTTCCCTAAAAGGTGTCCAATTCCCACAAACAAACTACACGCCCACCTTGTTCAAGAGATTTATTTTTGTGACTGTGTTAGTGGCTTCCCCAGAATGCTTCACCAGCAAAGCAATCAGCCGCACAAAGGCATCCAGGTTATGGTAGCACTTGGCTCGGATCATGGTGGGATTGGCAGCAGGGTTGTGCTGCTGCTCTGCCTGGGCGCGGTAGCTGATCTCTACACACATCTCCGTACATAAGCGGAAGAAGCGAGTGATCAGATCATCAGTCTTCAGGATACCTTGCTGATGCATCTGAGAATAGAAAAGTTTAATTAATAAATAAATAGTCCGGATGTCCATCTGCAGATGTCAGACAAGAAAGTGCTAGAAAATGTAAACGGCTCCAGCTTGTGGTGGTGGTTTAATATCAAGCTGTTTTGAAACCAACGTACTTTGTGCCAATGGTCTGCCCCACAGTAGCTCTATAGATGCAGAATTTACACCTCCACATCAAAATGGATTCTGTCCATCCTATACAGACTGACCCATACAGTAGTGTTAATTCTCAAAAAGGCAGAGATTGGGGCCAGTCCATGCATGCAAAGCGAGCCCTGGTTAATGTCAAACTGATATTAAAGACACTAGGCAGCACTTGTGGTGGCAGGTTTTCATTTGACAAGTTAGGCAGAAAATGGCTCTAAAGTGATGCTTTAAAGACGCCCAGCTTCCAGATGTGCAGGGACACTACAAACGAGCACTTGCAAGTGTAATGACTGCCCTCTCAAGAGGTACTGCATGTACCGGTGTGTGAGCAGCAACAATAGACTGTACCAGTGGTCACTTCCAGCCGTGTGCATGGTATATAAAATTGTTAAGCCCTATTATGCCACTTTGTGCCTGCATGCTTTCATATGACAAAGTGTTCTAAGTCCTGACACCATAACCATTTAAAAAAATAAATAAAATAATCCACACGTGGCAAAGTTCCCTAGTGTGTGTAAATCAGGACTTTGTTTCACGCACTGCACAGTATATAACTACAGACGTGACAAGGTCTGATACAGGAACAGACCAGAAAACAGATCATGTAGTTTACGTTTCTATTTAAGGGTGTACTAGCATGGTTTTAAAACCATCTTCAGGTGATGGCCAGAAGAGTTAATTGGTTTACAACATGTAACATTTGATAGATAAAGGTCTCTACCTGGCCAACGAACGCAGAGAATGCCTTGGTACTGTCCCTCCCAGCTGCTGCTGAATGGTAGAGGTTTACCCATTCTCTCAACAAATACTCTGCCTTCTCTCTCAAGCCTGGCGGATCGTCATATTCGGAGGCCTGAGAAATGCCAGAATGCATCATGAAGTTTGGCCCACCTTGGGCACGCTCAATCATGGCTTCGAAATTGGATCGCAGAACATCCATGAGCTGTGGGAGCCTGGAAACAAGATGCTGGTTTAATAACCAAGAATACACAAACTTACACAGCTATGAAGATCTTCATCAGTCCTTGACAACCAACAGAGACACCACGGCCAATGTTCACTGCCATCACCAAACACTGCACATGGAAGGCGCAGTAAGGGAAAGCAGAAAATACTGTTGCACCACAGCGTAACCCCTACCAAAGCCTAGGAATGGGTTTAAAAATGGTGCGTAGATATAGATAAAACCCACAAAATACCACAAGCAAAGTATACAGCCATTATTCATTTAACAGAAATGTAGAATCAACAACCCCAGTATCTACACCATGTAATATTCAGGGGAGGGCATTCACTCACCCTTCTGGGGCATTGCCTCTTGAGTGGGCATTTATTCGCATCAGTGTCTCGATAGTGTGGAAGAATTCAGCCTCAGTCACGTGGCTTACACTGCGTTCATCCACCAGCAGAATCTTAACCAGCTGCATGGCGAAGGCTACAGCCATATAGTTCAGGCCGTTCTCCATGGACTAGGCAACAAAGGAATGGACAAGACACCAACATCAATGTCAGGCTGCAGTACTTTACAGTCAATTAATACAGCATAAAAGGTCACTATAAAGATTACGCTAATGCATGTCCCACTAAATACAGATAAGGAAATCAAGCAGCTAAACATCATCCCAGTCCCCAGCCACCCACATCAGGTAAAGAGTGAACACTCACAAGTTGCATACCTTTAACTGCATTACCTGAGCCAGGTGAAGGTCGTACTGCTGCATGTTCACTAGGTGATTTCTGATCAGAAGCTCCACGGCTTCAACGTTGTATTTATATTCATCTCGGCACTCTATCAGACACCTGCAGGAGGAAAGGAACATATAGTGCCTCTTTAGGGGATACGGATACAGAATGCAGACTAATCCTTAACACGGGTGTGCTCAGTTAGACAAGCCAGACATTATACATGCGAGCAAATAGTTTCAAGGCTTCCACAATGAAGAGATGGGGAAATACAAACCTGGTTATCTGTTTGTTGCACCACGGAGAGCCGTATGCCCGGCCATCCTGCAGTGCCTTCAGGACCAAGAGATGACATTCCCGATAACGAAGGAGAAGGTCTGCATCAGCACCACTGGTGGCATCCAGAAGACCCTCCACGGCCTGCAGAGGTGAAGCCATTTAAAATTAGCATGTCAACAGGAAAGATTAAAAGACCTATAACAAACACTTCACTTCCCCCAGGTAAAAGGTGTCAGCAACAATTTGAATCTTTAAAGTAATATGGCAGCCTGGCATGCTCGTTCCATTATTACATTCTGTTTATTACAAGAAACAGATCTCAGTATAGAATACATTCTGTAGCCAGGCCGACCAGTAACAGATCTAGAACTGTTGACAGCCAGCCATTTCTACACATCTTTTTGTATAGTCACCTTCTGTAAGAGTCCAAGAGCAGCAATAGCATCGCGAGAGTTGCGAGCCAGTGCCACCGCCTCCAACAAGCTGCGCAGGGCCTGGGACTGCGGGTTCATTGCTAGTGTGGGTGGTATTGCATGCAAATGCTGCTCCAGCTCTGTAATGCATTTGTCATAGATCTGGGCAACATCATCTGTGGCCCAGGCTTGTTGCTGTGAAGTAGAGAGGGGAAAATCACACTTGTACAATATCAATGCAGTATGCCCCAGAAGGTGCAATCACAGTACAGTGTGGGTTTCACATTCCTTTCTGGTACCTTCATTGGTTGTGCAAGGAATCCTGTGGGTTGGGTCAGGTCATTGGTTGGAAGAAATCCAGGAACGTTCCGTGCAAACTCTTCATAAACAGCCAGCTGTTTAGAGTCCACGCCTCCAACCTGTGTGAAAATATAGAGGACATGCATTTTGCTTTGAATTTCAGACAGATTAGAAAAATTGTTTAGTTAAAATAGTAAAGCAGAGTTAAACCTTTTAATGTGTGTGGTCTAGAAGGTATGCAATTCAGGTTTTCAGTTTATTCTGATATTTTTCAGGTGTTAACATGGCATATGTGCGGACCATAAAGTTTTTCCTCAAAGAGAACTACACCACATTACCAGTATATCGAGCAACGGCCAGAAAGAGGTCTAATGTTTGCGACTATTCGCTCAATAATTACTTTGAGCAAGAATTCAAGTCAACCTCCCCCACAACGTGAGAGACTAAGACACTTACTTTGAGCCGGATCTGCTCCGGCATACGCTCTGCCTGGTAGGTTAACACTACAGGGTCACAGTAACGACGTCCTTCCTGTCGGGCATGCTTCCGCAGCTCAAATTCCTGAAAACATGCACATTAATGGGTTTAAATTCATGTGGTCAAAAACTACAGAGATTCATGGTTTGGCGATACATGTAAAAATAAAAAATTCTCTCTTCTAAAATATTCCCTGAGCTTTAAAGTTAAGCCCACAGAGTAATGGAAATAAAATAAAAATATTCCAGTACAGTCGTACTGTCTAAACAGTTTTCAGCCTAATAAAGTACAAAAAAGGTTCAACATTTAGACTGCAAATACAAGTCAGCAATTACTTAGTTTAAAAGAACCATTCAATTCAAGCATCCTTGTGTTTAGGGTGTCTGGAGTACCCCAGCAGGGTACCCATTTAAAAATTGAACCAGCTTTCTTGGGTCCCAGCTTCCAGATTTGTTAAGCAGAGTAAGCAAGGTTCTGAGCCAAGTCATGCAGGACTGCACTTACTGGCCGAGGGCATCAACTTGGCACTTGCCAATGAGCATGGTCCAGACTTGGCAGTGCTTAGCAAGCTATTGGGATGTGGTGTAGGTACTGGGTGACTACGGTAAGTAGTCATGCAATTTTGAAAGAGTTTGACAAGTTACATTAGAACAGCACCAGACCACTCCTACAACCATTACAGGCTCTAGTGATTATGGTGCCAGTATTCTTTGATTGCACAGCTGTCTGAAGGTAATCACATGGTACTTACAGTTGCAAGCCTCTTATCCATTTCAGGTCCAGCTTTTTCCACAGCAGTTTTCTGTATAAAGCAGCAGGCCAACTCACAGTTGTCTTGGGCAAGCTGTGCTGCTGCCTGCTCCATCATCTCCCGCTGCTGGGGGGAAGCTGCCTGGAGACAGGAGAGCAAACATTAAAATTCACAGATTACGATAACCCAAACGGCAGCATATTCAAACACACCACAAATACAATCTTAGCAACTTCTGAGGTCAAAACAATGGTATTTACAATAGGGCTCTGTCGTAAAAGCACAAAGCCATTCTAACCTAAACAAGGTATTCTCCAAGCACCAGGAATAGAAAGGGAATCTCAATAAGAAGCTCTAGATGTGCTTTTTGAATAGGCGTGGTACAGGACTGCACACCGTTTACACAAGTTAAAAAGTAGTTTGGGGAATTTTAAGTTCAAACGCAAATAAAACCCAAGAGTAATCTGCTATTTTACCCGCATTGCCGTGGCAAAACTGTTCTTCAAGTTTGTGGCAATGCTCATAAGCAGCGGCTCACGGCAGGTGATCATGGCCATGCCGGCAGTAAGGTTCCGCATCATATGGTGGGCAGCCACTCTCATGCGAGACTCCTCAGAGTCCAGCGCAAAGTCTTTCCGTACAATCTGCTCACAGGTTGTCATTGCAATCTTTATTGACCGATCGACGACGGGGTGAACCAGCTCCTGTACTGCTCGCTCGATAGCCTGGCGCACACACTGTTTAAGCTGAGGGTGAGCTTGGAACAAAGGAATCTGAAAAAACAAATCAAAACATGAAAGTCGTTTCATTTAAAAGGAACACACCACATACAACTTGCTGAACTGGTGTGTCTAGATTCTGTCACATCTATCCTCTGCTTTTGTTAGCGCCACAGAATGCACACATGCCTTCCACTTCTCATTAAGTGGTACTACAGCTGACTGAGAAGCATCGGAAAGCTGTGAGTGTACGACTCCTTAAAGAGCAGCCTCTGATTTGTGTTTCCCCACACAACGACTTTCCCATATAGGCACAAAGAAAACATGCAATAAGTACATAGTTACATAGCTGAAAAGAGACTTGCGTCCATCAAGTTCAGCCTTCATTTGTTTTTTGCCGTAAAAAAATCTCCCTCAACCCCAGAATGGCAGTCAGATTTATCCTTGGATCAAGCAGTTATTACCCTACATTGAAAAACTATATACTTGAATATTCTGTTATTGCAAGTCTGCATCTAGTTGCTGTTTGAACATCTGTATGGACTGAAACACTTCAGGCTGAGAATTCCACATGCTTTTTCAAGATCATTTATAAACATGTTAAATAGAAGGGGTCCCAGAACAGAACCCCGAGGGACACCACTTGCCACCTCTGTACATGCATGTTCTCTATAGGGTATATCAACTAAGTTGTTAAACAGACAATGGAGTGTTTCTCCAACAAAATGCAAGCTGGAGCAAAAACAGTTGCCAAAGCAGCTTTAAACCCCAGGACCAAAACATTGTGCTGGGGGGTGTAGAGATTGATATATAGGTTTACAGACATCAGGACTCACCGTAGGATTGAGTGTGATGTGAGGCGCCAGCCCGGCAAGGGAATAGACATGAATATCGTGGTAGCTATACTGAGGCTGCGGTGGAACGCTGGATGTACAGGTTGTACTGGGCGGAGGTGCTGTAGCCGTGGCTAAATAAAACATAAGAAAATGCTGTAAATCTCGAATTAACCACCCCTCAGTGTTGTAACAGATGGCTTGCAGTAAGGACCCAACACAAATGAAAAAAAAATGCCTTTTCGGTGTGCGCAAAATCTGCACAATTCACACCCACACAAATCTATAGTCTATCGCACATTTCTTATCTACAACTTAAAGAATGGTTACTAAAACATACTCCTGCCACCAAGATTGTACGTGGGCTGCAGCTGACTAGTTTCGATAAGATGCAGAATTAAACTAAAACCTGCTCTCAAAATCATTTTCAATACTTTTTGCTGGTGTGAACACCAGTCAAGATATTAACACTCTTCCATTAGTTTGAGCGTGGGAACGAGATCTAAATGGTACATGTCCAGAAAACACTTGGGAAAAGATTTAGATCCTACAAGAAACTCACACAGTGCACAAAATCACAGAGCTCTCTAGGAAGATCCTTTATAGATGGTACATGGTGCCAGAATGCCTTAAAGGCACAAGTCCAGGCATCTCTGACAATAGCTGGAGGTGTAACAGGAGTAAGTGATAATTTGGTGGGCTTGTCCCAACCCAACAAATTACTAGAAAAAAAAAAAAAAAAAAATGTAAATAACCTCTGCGATCATGGGATTAACTATCCCAGACACCCCAGATTGTCTTCTGCTACAAAATTACCTATATAAATAGAGCTGCGGGTCTTGCGGTTCTGAGCAAAAACTAAATTATTCTCCTCTTGTGGTAAACTACTGTATACAACCAATAGAAACCCCTCCACCCCCTCAAAAACAAACAAAAAAAAACTGAATGTATGGCCAAAATAGCAGCTAACCAAAAAACAAAATCAAAACTTAAGTTTGGACGATAGCCTGGGATAGGTGGGAAGACACAAGGTAGTCTGATAGACCAACAAGTAGCAATCTGACCAAAGATTGATTCTATCTGTTGAGCACGTCTGGTACAGTTAACATTTGAGACCTAACCTTTATTGCGGATGTACTGCTCCAATCTGAACAATTCATAATAACAAAGAAACTCACCACTTCAGACATTAAAGTGGAAGTGCCCAATTTCAGGGTTTTTAGAGTTTGTCGGATGAGACAGCCAATGTCATTCAAATAGAGGTAAAATGGCTAAATCTAATGGAGATATCTAAACAAGATGTCAGCCCAGAAGTACCTAGAGGACCCAGGTAAGTGTCAAACAGTTTGACTAGTAATCATGGAATTGGACATGAGGCTCCAAGAACCTTAATTATGAGAGTACAATGTAGCAGTTAGTGTGACCTGTTAATCAAGCAAAGATAGCGCCTGGATTACTTGAGTCACAATAAGAAGAGCAAATCTGGCAGCTGTGGAAGGAAAAGGCTTTTCACATTTCAATTAAAGCTCAGAGAGTGAAAAAAAAACAAAAAAAACAAGAGTCTTGCAACCAATAAAAAGGGGAGACCCATATTACACAGCAGATTCATGCTTCCATGCAAACAGGCACCTCAGACAGACTAGGTGGAACCTACTAAACATTGTGAAGTTCCAGGTTTCTCACCTGTGAAAACTGCATCAGATTCCTGCTTCTCTACCGAAGCCCAGAGCTTACCAGCCGTGCGGATGGCATACTCATTGGCACTGGTGATTGGTGGCAGCTCTTCTGGCTGTTTCAAGTCTTTCTTTGGGGCTGAAAGCTGCTCATCCAGACTCTTTAAACGATCTTTGTCCTTTAAGAGGCTGCCAGGCTTTAAGTCATTGATGTCCAATGCTAGGTTTTTACACAAGACCTCGATCTCAAACTTCAGATTCAGCTGTGATCAAAGAACAATCAATATAAAGTCATGATTACAGCAATGTGTGTTATAGGAAGATATTTACATAATGCTCAGTAATTTAAAGGCAGAAATAAGTTACATCTACACATGATAAAAAGGCTGTTTAACCACTACAGTGAGCTTGGAGTGTACTTATCGTGTCAGGAGTGCCCTCCTTCAGTCTGTAGCAACAATAATTAGAAACGGCCAACTTAGCTGGTCCTGCACAGCAGAGCTCATGGCAAACCTCTGCCAATTGTCAGTCACCAAAACACCGAGCGAGGCCCTTCACCGAATGGTTTAGCTCACTGGTTCAGCTTAGAGCTGCCAAACAGGTGGCACCAACTGGATCCCATGAAAACGGCCAAACTACTCTATGGCACTCCTGGCACCATTAGCCCGGAAGCGGATTATGGTGATAGGCATATTTTCAGATGACTCACAAGGGGAGAAGAAAAAGTTTCACAGGAAGAAACATTTCCTTGAAACCTTAATACGTGTGTGCACTAGGCAAGAAGGCGAAAGATCACATGGTCTACAGAATAGGTAGGATTTTAGATACTAGTTTTATCTGCTTTAGAATACATTACAGAATTCTTTTTAAATAAAACCTTCCCTTTTATTAGAATTCCTGCAGCTAGGAAACCCCATAAAACCCATTCTACAAAGCAGGTGAATATTGGACATGCATAAGTCAGTCGATTATTGCCATTGGTCATGCTCTGCAACAAAATATCAAATTTAGCACAATTCTACTGCGGTCAGAGGTGTCCAAAAAAACAAGACAAAAAACCCCCAAACAAGAATTTTCAAAGGCACTTACAAGATTTACTGGAAATGGAAGAGCCAAATACAGGTTCATGTTTGATAAAAATAAACTTGCCAGCTCACCTTTAAGTCATGCTCTTGGTGAAGCTCAGCCAGTACGTTCATAATGGCCATTGTCCAGGGATTAGGAGGCCGGAAAACCTGTATGCAAAGACTCTGTCAGTATAAAGTGAAGTAGAAGATACAGTATAGAGGTAGAAAGTAGCCAGAACATCAAACCACTGATCCTTACCACACTCCTGATGCTGGACTCCAACACTTTGGCAACAAAAGGCACAACATAGAGAAGTTCTTGCTGTCCTTTAACATAAGCTTCAAGCAGCAAGGACTTTACATCCAGGTCCTGGGGACAAATATATCGTTATAGAAGCATTTCATGGAGACAGCCAAGTGACTAAGCAGGACAGCTCTGCACAAACACTTACGGTGTGCAAGATGGGCTTGTTTTTCGCCAAAGTGATCATCCCCAGCCAGTGGCCCAAGTTCTTCAGGAGAGATCGATCTGAGAAATTGGCAGCAGCCTTGTCAGAAGTTAGAAGTACCTGAAAGACGGATAAAGGAAAAAACCAAACAGTTATTCACAAGGCCAGTGCAGGTTTTCCTAGTCAGACACTTCTAACAAAATAAATACTTACCTTTATGTTTCTGTAGGTCTCTGCAAGTACCATTTTATTGAATTCTAGGTTTTTCAGAGCATCCATGAAGTTTGAATACAAGCTGTGGAAGTTCAGTTCAATGCTAACCCTTTTCATCACCAAATACTGCGATACCCAAGGCATGAATTCATCTTTCACAGTTTCCTTTAACTCTTCCACCTGACGAGGACATGTTAAAAATCGCAGCACTGTACATAGCAGTATTTTATAAACAGACAAGGACAGAACACCTTGCACACAAACTACCATATATGAATGTGTATTAGACTTGTCAAACAGAACTGTTATAACTATGTTGAAGAGAGTTAAAGATGCACAAAAAGTTTACAAAAAAATAAATTAATATTTTGTAGATGAGATCTGCAGAATAAGTCCATGCACCAACCTTTTGTGTCATGTTTGACTGGGACAAGTTATTAAATATAAATGCAATCTTCTCCTGGACACTCTCTGGGGGTTCCACGGTGCGCTCAGTCTGGTCTGTAGCCACTAGCAGGGTGTCGATATTGGTTGTATTTATGGATGGCTAGAAAGAAGAGTAACAGGGAAAATTAGCTGATGGTCCCAACCAATACCAGTCACAGAACTGGAAAAAGCCATCAAGTCTATCTTGAAAGGACACGAGTCAACAAGGGCCCCTTAAAGAAGAGCAAATTGTTCCAGTCAAATTTAACATTTCACAAGAGCATTTTAAAAGAACATTTCCTTCTAAAGTTGGAGGACCTCATTTTACCTTTATATGTAGCTGCCCCCTCACCTCCCAGTCTCCTAAAAAGAGGTTACTTATAAACCAAGAGTGATGGCAGCCCGTCACAATTCAACCTTGGAAGCATCATGTGTAAGTCATGTTTTAAATAGAGAAGCACTGGGAAGTAGGGTGCAAATACATTGAAAAAAAACGAATGCTTCTGTTAAATGCCCTCACTCTCCTGACACTATCTTTTCTCTTTTTCTCCGGTTTAGCACTTTGAGAACAGCCTTTAAGACTCCATGCAGGCTAGCTCCATGTCCCATTAAGCCGTCACTGGCCTGTGTGGCTTGTTTATTACAGAAGTAAGCAGGGAAGCCATTCACATTAGTTACAAGTGGCTGCTTACCGGCACATCCTTCTTGAAACTGACACCAGTCGGCCTGGTTATGGTGATTGTTTTTGCAGTGGTGGTAGTGGTAGAGGTGGTTACAACATTTGTGCTGACAGGGCCGGGGACTGGAACTTTGGATGGAGCCTGAGCCTGGGATAGTGCAATACTGCCTGGTGTTTGAATGGAGCCTTGCATCTTCACCGGGGGATCCCGGGACTGCTGGCCATACTCTATATACTGCAGGGGGAAATGATAGATTTAGTAACCAGAGCAAAAAAACGTTTCTACCACCCACTGAGGCCATGAGAGCACACTCACCTCTTGCAAGTGATGGGGAAACTGGATAAAATGAGTGATGGATGCCAAGTGCTGACAGTATTGAGGATAGTCCTTCAATCTGAAACCAGAGGCATGATTAAATTAGTGTTACAGAAACAAAGGCATGGATAGACGTTTTATTAAAAAGGACAGCAAACCCTCTGCATATCCTCAATTGAAGGAGCCAAAAGAACTTAATAAAAACACAATTTTAATCTGAAAGCAGTTTCATGCATGTCTTAGGGCCCAAGGGGCTGTTCAGACAGAACTATAGGGAGAAGACTCAACCCAAAGGCAGCCACTAGCTAGACACAGGGTACACCTTGAGACAATTACGGGAGAAGCAGAATGGCACCTTGGTAAAAAAAGTTTCCCATAAACCATCTGAGCACTATAGCAGGCTTTCCTACAACCAAGACACCACTTACCGATTCTTAAACCTATCTAGTGCAGCTATTCCGAAGAAATACATTTTGGATCCATAAGGTTTCCGTAGAGCTTCCAATACATAGCGCAGTGCTAGCCCTAAAGCCATGTAAGTGACCAGTCCTTTCTCTATAATGCCACCAAACAGGCAGGCTGTAATGTGCAGCTCCTTGTCTGGGTACTGCGGGAAGAAACGGTATTCCTCAAACAGGTTACGAAGCATGCAGTTAAATACTTCCCGTTCCCGCTTTATGCTGGAGTCTTTAAACCTCTGAAGCATCTCCAGCACCTGTAAAGAAATGGCATCAGTCAGCACTGGAGCTCTGAACAATGACAACCACACAATAGGGCAACATGAAACAAGGCTTGTGTACTTTGAAATGCAGTTATTTACATACGTTCACTGCCTTCATTTGAAAGAAGTTCAATACAAACTACATAACAGACTGTTGGTGCCATCTAGATTTGACAAACTGAGTAACAAATGTGCTGAAAGAGCAATCTTGATGGAGATGTGGGATGAATTTGGGTAACTGAGGGGTTGTCTACTAAAACTTTTAGGGAAGAAGTGTTTAAAGCAATAGAACTACGATGTGATCTAGTACTGGAAAATAATAGCTTCACTTATACCATTCTTCCCATAATCCTCCACATTTTAACCGTGGCAAAGTTGATGATCACTAAATGTAATGTTCCAAAACGAGAAATTATGGGAACAAGTTCTCTGGCAATGTAAGATAGAAATGGGTTGTGCTAGAAGAAAGAATTGTAAGTCACCTGCAGTAAATGTGTGGTATTATTGGATGAAAAAAAAAAAAAAAAAAAAAAAAAAAGTGATCCCTTAACAAGCACATTACAGTTTAGTTATCTAGATGAAGGCCATCTTTAACTATGTATGTTTCTATGTCTTGACATTATACAGGACAACAGTTTTAGGATGAATGGGATAATTGGGAACCATGTGTTAAGTATAGATTTCGTTTTTTTGTGTAATATGTTTTGTTTTTTGTTTTTACATGTGTGAAATGGAAAATAAAGCTTTTACTTGGAAAGGCTTTCTCCAGGTGCTGAGATCACATTAGTGTTAAAAAGAGGTTACAATGTAGGGACCGTTTCAATATGAAATGCTGCACAGGAAACGTGCATGCATCACTCTTCCTTAAATGGATTCGCAAAGCACAGAGCCCCTTTGGATTGTTTTAAGTAGAACAGTTTAAAAGTTAATACAAAGGCATTGTGTAATGAATCAATTTATTTAAAAGGGACACTAAGCACCCAGACCACTTCAGCTAATTAACGTGGTCTGGATGCTGTGACCCTTTTGCACTTACTGCTGCAATGTAAACATTGTTCTCAGGAACTGCAATGTTTTACGTTGCAGCATTAAGTCTGCCTTCTGTGACTTTCTACCAGACAGCCACTGGGGACTCTTCCGGAATCAAAACTGACTTTTGGTCCATTATCTGACCCTGGATGTCCTCATGGACCTCCAGCGTCAGATTTTCCCCCATGGGGAGGTCCAATGTGCGGCCATTGCCATGCATACGCATTAGGTCTCCCCTATCGGGGGATGGAGGAGCGGGGGCAGAGTCTAACCAGAGCTGGATTCAGGTAACTGAATGGGTTTAACCCCTTCAGCGACATGGGACAGGGCAGGAGGGCACTCCAGGATTCTCTAGTTCCAGGAAAACTGGTTTGCTTTCCTGCCACTGGTGAATCTTACAGATGGCAGCTTTCATTAGCCAACCTGGATCAAGAGTGAATTGAGCCCAGTTCACTCACTGGCCAAGAGCACTAATGAGCTGGATGTGAGCCAGCAGGCATTAGCGTAGGTGTGGTGACAGTCATTTGTCACCATGGTTTGCCATGTACCAGAACCCCATTTTAAAATTCATTTTGAGGAAACCATTACAGTACATCAAGTTAAATCATTCACACATCACTTTATAACAAGGAGACTTGACAAAGCCCTCACTCAGCATGAACATTCCAAATATGCAGTCAGTTCCATACCTCATCCACAGACATGGTTGGGTGAGGCGGCTGGTTGTAAATGCGTTGGAAGTAGCTGTTTGCTTCATCGTCAATTTCTTTACTAAAGTGCTGATTAGCCTCTGGCCACACCTGAGACAGGTCCGCTGCAAGATAGACATTGCATTAGTAGCATTGTTATATAGTGCCACAGTATGTGGACAAACAATCACTCATTCTGGATAGTACGCCATTTACGAGAAGGGGTGGAGAGATCTGGGAGTGAGGGGCTGGATTCTTACTTTGCTGGAATGTAGGCTGGTTCAGTCCAGATGTGCTCAGTTTTCTTTGGCCGAAGGATTCATTAATGACAGCTGGAAGTCCAAGGCCCGCTGTACTCATTCCAGTTAAGCTGCTAGTTCCAAGGCCACCTTTATAATGACATGACACATCAGTTAGACACCACAAGCTATGCAACAGGCCTTCTGCATGGTAACCGATGGATGTAGCGCACACAGCCCTACTGGTCCTCTAGGTTAGCCGCATACAGCCTACAAACAGTATGGATAAAAAACTAGTCACCTGGAAGCTGAGAGGACAGGCTCCCGAGGCCACTGAATGCACTGGATTGGTTGGGAGCGGGAAGTGGAGGAAATGCCTTTGCTGGTGACTGAGGAGTGCTGAATGTAGAGCCCAGGTTGGGAGGAAAAGAAGGCATGCTCTGTGTATGAGGAGCAGAACCACCAATACTGAGAGAGGCCATGGCAGCGAGGGTATCCATCTAGGAGGGAGAGGAAATAAATAAATAAATGCTTTATTAAAACAGCTGCAAAGCAATCAATGAGTTATTCACCAATGTGAGAATTCTAGGGGAATACAAAATGTATAGTCCGAATAACTGGACAGAAAGCCCACGTGACAAAATGTTTCAGTTAGGATGTTTTGACGTTAAATTTGAAATTCACCCCACCACATATTTTGTGATTGTAGAATACGGAAACAATTCAAGATAGATATAGGGGACAAGGTTTTCTGCTACAGATCATCCCAGACTCATAACGCAGTAATGCTGAACCTTATAAAAGCTACCAGGACAAGCATAGCTTTCCACTGGAAATCCACACTAACCCCCTGTTAAAAAAAATTAAAAAAAATAATATATTTTTTAAATGAAGCTGCAGTACTGCTGTATTGATAACCTAGAACACTCTATAATGTACTTTGTCATATTGAATACAGACACGAAGATCCACGTACTCATGCATATCGATCTTGCCAATTCTTATCCTGTACGGATTTAAATTTCAACTGTTCTGCTATCTATTGACAAAAAATGTATATTGTATACCTTGTGGCATTTATCTACCGTACTTCTGTGTGTCGAAATGTTAAAAACTATACAATTTACAAAGTGACTTTTTTTAAAATTCACCTTGAATTCTCCCTTTCCAGAATGACCCTGGGAGACAATGTGAAGCTCAGGTGGAGCCACGCAGATCTAGATCGCAGTAGAAAGGTATCCCTCCCTCCCAACAGTCCACACAGTGGGTAGAGCAGGAATGGCTATTAGTGTAAACATGGATTTTTAGCGGCTCCAATAGACGTTACTATACCTGTACAGGGGATATGGCATCCAGGCTGCTGGTGCTGGGGGGACGGCCTTTTGACATTACCCCCGGAGGTGGCTGTCTTGCTTTATTCACAACATTACTACAGTTGGCAACCATAGTAAGGATGGTCTCAGACAGCTCCTGAGAAACACTCCTATAGAAAAGAGTGGAGATTTTAGCACAATGCAGCATCCAAACACACTTAGGATGGGTTAGATCCTAAGGCCCAAAGAAAGCAGGCACTAAAAATAAAAAGGGATCAAATCAAATTAACTGCTGCATAGAAATACTAGGGAACAGCTTTATAAGAGGAAATGGCTCCTTACCAGGGTAGTCCGTAGCCCAACAGCCAGTCTGCAGAAATCAGCCAGGACTACACAACAATTTAACAATGAGAAAATTGAGCACAACCCTAGCCTGTTCCCAGGTGGTTTCACATACATTACAAGAAATGGGGTACTAGAGATCTACATCCCATCACAGGCCCTTATAGGATAGAATGTAGCTCTCTAGGGCTGGAAAGGAATATAAAAATCAAATCAGGACATACTATATATTCCCAACTTCAGCAACATGGGACATGGTAACAAAATAACCATTAAAAAGGAACACTACATCCTGCTCCAGTACTTTAATGGTTAACTGACTGTTAGCTGATCTCTTGGAAGAATGGCCAAGCTGGTTACAGAAATGGAATATAGCGTCAATGTTCCTGTGAGTTTGTAATCACAAATGTAAAACATTGATCAATAAGCACTCACAATATTCTTACAGACCTGGTTAGATTCTACATCCTGTGGGCAGCTGTAACTAGAAGGGAGGTGGATAGACTAAACCTGCGCTGGACAATTCCTTGAAGGCTATCAAAAAATGTCAGTCAGCAGCCTTAAATAAAAGACATCTGCATTCTAGTCAGAATAAACAGGAATATTGAACCATTGCACTGCAACACAGCAAATACATATTAACCCATTCTATGCCTTCAGCCTGCTTCCCCCATCACTCAGATTATAACCTCGCCTTCCAACAGATGTATTTTTAAAAGATCTAAGATGCCCAAATCATTCTGCATCCAACACCTCCCACCTGCCCCACACAGCTCTTCGCTTAACGCAAATTATCGTATTTGTTTGTGCTTGGCTGGTAAGTCCAGCCTTCTAACCTACCCAGCACAAGCCTGGAGACAGCCCAGCATAGTCCCCAGAGTCTCCGGAGGCAGTTGGGAACTTTTAGGCTGATCCTTCTCTGGGGCAAGGCCACCAAGGATGGAGGGACATCTCCTTTTCAAGAAGGTCATGCATGCCTGGATAAAAGGCTCCTAGAAGAGAGTGAGCAGGATTTCAAATTTTACATTCTGACTGTCCAAGGTGGTTTTAAAAAAAGAAAAGAAAAAAAAAGGGGGGGGGGAGAAAGTAACAATGCAAAGTCTGTTTTACCCCATGTTCCCGAATTTTATCTGTGAGCCATTTGTCAAGTTTGAGGTATTCCCGTCGAGAAGCAAGTGCAGCAAGGTCAATAACAAAGGCAAATGGCGTACCATTTAGCAGCATTGACAAGGCCTACAGAGAAAGAAAACACTATGTTCAAACGGTTTCTGAAAAGACCATTTCAAGTACGACATGCCTTTGTTTTAGTCATCAATAAGTTTACAGTAATTAGCATTTAATCTGGATAGGAGCTGCAGCCATTACCCCAATCCATAAAAATTCCTCCCCATACTAAATTTGTTTTTTGGAAGTGTGAGGGTAAATTAAAATTTTATCTTGATAAAGACCTGAATAGGTCGATAAGGTTGATCTGCTGAACTCTTAATATTTGGACACCGTAAACTGAACACTTTCAAATCCAGGAGTGCGCCTTGTAATTCCCATTATATATTTTTTTCGCTGGTTTTGCACCCTGGTATGAGTGCCAAAACGTATTCATAACGACACGCAAAAAATGTGTGTGTATATATTACACACACACACTATTTTTTAAAACACAGAATATATATCTACATCTACTTCTTCGGCACTCTCCCAGCACAAACAAATAGAGGTCAGGCCAGGGTGCTAACCCTCGAAAAATCTATTTAAAAAAAAAAAAAAATTAAAAAAATTAAAAAAAAAAAAAAATGCACTCTTGGACTTAAACAGTTTTAATGTGAAAAAAATAAAATAAATCAAAAAACTGCCAGGTTTTATAATTTGTGACGGTTTTGTATAGTAATGTGCAGGATCCTGGCAGTGTCAAGTGCAGTGGCTGCGTTACATGCAGCCATATGATCATAGAGACAAAAAAAAACAAAACAAAAACAAAATAAAAAACCACAAACACTAGATTACATATACTACTGATCATGTTGTCTACATGAACACTTTCCCCCTGTGGGCTTTCGTGTGTAGGGAAGACCAATCTCACGACCAAGGATTGTATGAGAGGCCATCGATCTTTCAACACAGTGTTCTGGGATCAAAGAACTGCCAAACACTTCCTCACTGCTGACCACCACCTACCCTCCCTCAGATTCATGGCCATAGACCACCTTCCTTTGCCTAGAGAAGGTGATGGATCCAAACTTTTGCCACAGCATGAGACATACTGGATTCACCACTTTGACACTGTTGCTCCCAAAGGCTTAAAAAAAAATAAAAAAAAATATTGTTTATTCTATGTTAATCTAGTTCTCTATTAAGATTGCCAGAATTGGCTAATGTGAGCATTAATGTATGCTTCTGTGGCGGAACCAACCTCGCCACTATGCACTGGAGAAGCCTGGTTGCTCGCCTGCTGCCTTTACACTATGGCCCTGGGAGATTGTTAAAAACAAAAAAAAAAAAAACACTTATGGACTTTTATTGGGTGTATGGCCCTTTAAGACAGTCGGTGGGCATATTGGGGCTTATGTACATTTTATGGAACTGGTGCTGGCCCTTTAAGCACCTTTTTGGGGCATAGGGAAAATTGGGACACTGCCCCTTTAAGACGGTGTTCCCAGACCTGGTTAAAACCCTTTGTTCCTAGCCATTTCTCACTTGGTTCAGTAAATGGGGCTTACTGAACCAAGTACTACACAGGCGGGCCACCTGTATTGGGAGTGTGTCGGCAATTTACCTCCCAGAAGCTGCAGTTAACCGCAGCTTAATTGACAACGCTGGGTGGCCTTTGTTCGTTTGCCGAACACGTGGTGGCGGCCATCTTTGTTCATTCGCACGAGGTCAGCGGTATGTGGAGCCAAATTTGTGGAACTAAAATTGGCTACACATTTCCGTGAACACCGCGGAGCCCTACCTTCTCCCACAACGATTTTGCAGCCGCAGAGACTAAGTCCCATTCGGTGATGGGACTTAGTCATTTTTTCAGCCTGAAATAGACCGACCTCACAGCCCAAATCTATGGAACTGTTATGGGCAGGAAAATGTGCTTGCGGTCGGTCATAAAGGGACCTCCAGCTAACTTTTTAAACCCCTGGATGGATTTGGCTGATTTGTGGTTATGTTTATATTTGAAGGTTGCTGATTCTAAATATTTTTATGGAGATTGGATGTGTAGTTTTAAAGTTACAGGATATGGGTAAAAACTGTATTTTTATTGCCTGTGTTTAATTAGGTTAACCCATTGTGTACCATAATTAGATCACAGGCAGAGGGGAGGATTGCTGGGAGTGTTTCTGTAATATACGTGTATGATTGGTTGTTTTGTAAAACCCTGTGGGTGGTCCTATCTAAGGGAAACCTGCATAAAAGAAGGTTCTTTTGGTGCCAGTAAAACAGATTCTGCTTAAAGAACCACTATAGTGCCAGGAAAACACTCGTTTTCCTGGCACTATAGTGCCCTGAGGGTGCCCCCACCCTCAGGGACCCCCTCCCGCCCGGCTCTGGAAGGGGGAAAGGGGTAAAAACTTACCCTTTTCCAGCGGGCGGAGAGCTCTCCTCCTTCTCCGCCTGAATGCCGCGCGGCAGCTGCGCGCGCATTCAGCCTAGGAAAGCATTTAATGCTTTCCTATGGACGCTGGCGTGCTCTCACTGTGAAAATCACAGTGAGAAGCACGCAAGCGCCTCTAGTGGCTGTCAATGAGACAGCCACTAGAGGATTAGGGGGAAGGCTTAACCCATTCATAATTATAGCAGTTTCTCTGAAACTGCTATAATTATGAAAAAATGGGTTAACCCTAGAAGGACCTGGCACCCAGACCACTTCATTAAGCTGAAGTGGTCTGGGTGCCTAGAGTGGTCCTTTAACCCTCAAACGAAGTGTCGTCTCATTATTGGGGGAATTGGATTGTATGTTGACTGCCAGGAGTGTAAACCTTTCGTATGGTTTTTCCTGTTCAGCTGTTCCCAGTATTCGTGAGTTTCCTGTTCAGGAGTTGGAGAATTCATGTAGATTGGTGCTTGCAGTAGCTGTCTGCACATCTGAAAGGGGAATATTGCCTAAACGGTTTTTAACCTCTTGTGGGCTAACCTGTCCGTTACAGCTTCTATCCAAGTTTTTTTTGGTAATGGTATTAGCATAGTATTCCTGTAAGGGAAAGGATCCCCTTTATACTTTGTTTTTTGTTGAATATTGTTTTTGCTGAACATTTTTTTTATTTGTTGTCTACCAGAGGTTCTAGGATCAGTACTCTGGACTATGGATCTAGTTTACACCATCCAACTCTGATAATATACAATATCGCCCTTTGTTTTTTTCTGAATATGCATCTGTACTTTACAGTATTTCTTTTATCACAATATAGGTGATGTATGTAGATCGGGTTTTCTTTACTCATTGATCACCTAGGTGTCTGCACTTCCACCCTTTTGTTGTTCTGTTCACCTGTATCCCGTCCTCTGTCTGTTATCCTCCTACCTGGACTGTTTAGTGTGTGTTCTTTTGAACATATTTTTTGGACACTTTATTAGTATCACAGTTGCTAGGACACAACTGTGTTTACCGTGGCAACAGTGACGTAATGACGTCACACGCAGTCTTCCTTCACTTCCATGTTTCAATCAGTTCGAGGGTCCACACTTCACTGCATTGGTGAGTTCACTTATCTTTTTCCTATATAACATCACTTAGATTGTAAACACTGATCTTAAAGACCCTGAGGGGTCGAAACGTTGATCATTCACATTTGATGTATTTGACTTTTTCACACTAACCCCTTCCCTACCAGACACACCCATGCATACATATATATCTCCCAACAACTAAGCATCAGACAAAATAAAAAAAATAAAAAATTTCAGAAAAAAAGCTGGGGAGAAAGGGAGCAATGAATGATAAAGACAACTGTGGTAAAACCATCTCACCTTTAAATCCTGGGCAACATCAAGTATTCGAGAGAGGCGGGCCTGATCATACTGCTCCCCGCGCATGTACCATTCTGCCATGGCATGCATTATAAGCTGCCGAATGGAGGGGGACTGGCCCTAAAATAAGCAGAGATCATTACACATTTCATTGAACATAAACCATAGGGCACCTTGTGTTTACTACATTTACTATGTCACCAGTAATAAAATACACAGCCTTTTTGGTACAATGATTTATCTAAAAACAGATAAAGCTTGCAGAAGGAGAATCACTAAACATGTTCACAGGCTTGCTGCCTCCCCCTTAGTCAGACCGGTAACATCCCTTTTGCAGAATCTCATCCACAATACCAGAGAGTTTCCCTTGTTCCATGGAAATCCAGAGTTTTACTCACCTGGCCATGCCATGCATAGTGCAGAATGATGGCAGAGTTTGGGTGATTACCGAGAAATATTGGCATCAGTGTTGAGATGAGCTCATGGCGCAAAGTATGCCAGGAGGTGTTAATTTGCAGTAAGGCCAAAACCAGCATATCGGGGCAATGCTTGATTGGATAGCTGAAGAGTTGTTTCACTTGCTCATATTGGCCCACTTCAGCCAGCCGAAGTAAGGACTCAATGAGATCCAAGCTCTTCCTAAAACCAAGCAAAACACACAAGGAAAATGGTTTAGAGCTGCCACAGAAAGAAAAAGACAGCAAGGATTGGTTAGTATGTCACTGCTTTGAGTGGGTCAATACTTGCCATGTAGCAATCTCCCGGTTGTCATCTTCTGGTGGTGCCTTCAGAATATCGGTTGCTACAGCATGGCAGGGGTAGTCAGCAAAGCAGAAGATATCTGGATTCATTAAGGAATGATGAATGAAGGAGAGCTGATAGGAAAAAAAATAAAATATAATTATATACACACATACACTACAATTTGTTCATAAAAACAAATCCTGAGCAAGAAACAGTGTGCAGTGAGCATGGCAAGTACCTGGCCTTCTGCATGTTTCCAAGGCCTGTAGATTAAATCGACAGGGAATGGTTCCATACCAAGACCGCGCTGGATGCCATACACCACCGTCTGGAGACCTTTGCTGTCACGGATTTGAAATCCTGGGTTATCAAGCTCATACGTGACCTCTTTAAAGTTCAGACTTGGGTTCTGGAGATTTCAAAAACACATTACATGCATAAGTCATAATCTTTTTCTAAGAGTTCCAAAAAAGGAACCCCCCCCTCCCCCTCCAAACATTTCCACCATTTAAACAGCTTATATGGAATACAGGTCACATGTAAGTGTGTGAAATTATTTACCACATATACTTCATTCTAACTGGGAAAATAAGCATTAAATCCGGAATATAGGTAAAACTACCCCCAAATTAACATTTTAACAAAGGATCCCTACTTCCCCTCCCACAGAATGAGCAGTAAGCAATAGATGTGCTTTATACCCAAGTGCAGTATTCCAGAAAAATGCAACGTTAACTATTTTTGTAATGATCCTCAGGTGGTATAACTATAGCAGTCTGCTGGGGCACACAGCTGTGGTAATGTCAGCAGAAAGCATTAAAAAGGGACAGTTACCAGTTCCTTCACCACATCGATGAGAACCTCGACGTTCCAGGTGTGGGGTTGCACGCCATCGTTCTTATCCTTCCCATCGCTCCAGATGCCGCTGCCAGGAGAGGAGATAGACTGCAAACCAAAGGCAGCTATTAGTATAAACCTCAGTCATAATGCAATAAACAAGCTTACACCAAGCACTCCTTACCTGTAAAGCTATTCCATCAGTCAGGCCAGAGTGTGTCCGAGCCATCATTCCAAGGACTCTGGCTACCTGCACAGCTGTTACTTCGCGAACACCAAACTGAACAATGATGTTGCGGCATTCTTCCAAACTGAAACAAAAACAAGTGCTTTTTATTGGTTTGCGGTTGGCTGTAAGGATTTATAAAACCAGCCTGCCTGGGATTACTTTTACTCTTTGATTAAGGTAGAAAACACTGGATTAAAGTCAGTCGAAAATGGCAAAGGAGTCAGCACCATTACCTACAGAGAATAACCATGCCTGATAAAGCTAGGAGTGAGCACATTCTGGATCCCTTTCCGCTGGAATCGCACTGCAAAGACCAGAACAAGGAACGCAACACCCTAGGGGTCTCTAGGTAGAGCTGTTGCTGCAAAACTCAGCTCTCAAGTTCTCTAGGGTTTGTCTCGGCTAAAAAGCTATTTCCAGATTTAGAGATTCACGCATACAGCATTGATAGAGATCAGACTTTCCATCTCTTCCAGTTTTAATGGAAGGAGAGGAAACACCGGCTCTTAGGTGACCAAGCCCCCAATAAAAAATATTCCATGCTAAAAGTTCAGAGATTCTACTGAAAAAAGCAACCTAAAGGTGGATACAGCCAACGACTAACTCTCCATTTAGTGGCACTGCTGCTAAATGTCCGTTGCTTTGGAAGCTTAGACCACTAGACCATGCAAGGATAAAATGACACAGTTAAGCTGGCTCAGCTTAAGGTTTCCCGCTAGTTGACCAGCCAATGCAGCACTGGGTGGAATGTTCTTACAGGTTATGGGGACAGCCTGTAATCCCACATATAAATCTGATATTTGAGTTCTGCACACATTACCCAACCTGCTGCACTCAAAACATTCTGGATGTTTTATTAAAAATCCACACATTATCTGATGCTACATAACATGGCCTGTAACCGTTCAAAGCCTCAACGACAGATCTGGCCAGCAGAGGAACGTTGAGGAAGTTGACAGTCACCACACTTTCTTTGAAAAAAATGCAAAAGTCACTATGTGGATTGCCATCCCGTTAGAAAGGTGTCACAATTTCCACTAGCCAATGAGATTCAACCCATGGATGACGTGCAGCATCAAGGATTTGAAAATACTGAGCTCTGACAAGAGAAAACACTCTCACTTGGCACGAACCTGACACAGAAGCCATAACCCACTTCCTGCATGAAGTCTGCCAGAGAGCTGTCCATCATGGTTTTGGCAATTCCTCCAGAGTCAGATAAAATCCGATCCATTAGGATGTCCCGTTTTTCAGGATAAAGAAGTGGTGCAAGCACCACAGGACAACGTTCCTGGGGAAAATCTGACCAAACATTTCAATTACTTCCACAGTACATCAAGGTAACAGTTCACTTCATTAAATACCCACAGGTGAATCAGCGCTAATCAGCTGGAGGTAAAGCACCTAGAACCCAGACATATTAGCAATGGGAATGTAGCAGAGAGTCAGGGCAGTGTCATATTCACCATGGTTTATCTAACCCAAAATATTACATTTTGTGATCTCTGGACAATAAGCACAAATGTAAAAGTCTACATTGCTGTGTTTATCTCTCTGGAACTGAGAAAGTCCAGCTCAGCTTCCTGCTAATCACTGTATTAGCCCCGCCTATTCGTGTAATTTAACATACTACGGAGAATCCAACATTATGTTCTGTCGCCCCTTCACCACAGTGTGTAAATAAAAGTTATTAGTGACTCAATATAAATAATGCATGGTGTGTGTACATGCCAGATCTGTTCCTAAAAAGTTAAATCCTTTTATCCTCTAAAGTACCACGTCTCCATTGTATTTCATACCTCTGCGCAGGGTCTTGAGAAATGCAACAATCTGCTCCTGCCCAACCCCAAAAGCTCCCTTCTGGCCAAAGAGGAGATTGGAGAGGAGGAGGTGCAGGACCTCTATTGCAATATCCTGGAAGCCACCTTCTTGGCTGCCAGACACGTCCACGTCCACGTATGAACGTAGAAGGTCAGGTAGCTTCTGCTTCACAAACTGGGCAGCTATTAAAAAAAAAAAAAAAAAAAACACAATGAAGACTAACTGTATGCAAATCATATTTACGGAACCAAAATTTAAAAGGCAGCCAGACAGCACATACAAGGAGTAGCACATTGGATTTAGAATTAGCTCAGATGGGATGGCTCCAGGTACACTACAGGCATTCGGCTACAGACATTTTGTCAACGTACAGATACCGTATGTCTCATAAAAAGAGTTTTTTTTTTTGTTTTTTGTTTTTTACACACACACACACACACACACACACACACACACAAACGTAGAGATCTTACCAAATCCCTGCAGATCACTGCTGGAAGAATTGAGAAGTGCAAGGCCAAAGATAACCTGTTAAGAGGGAAAACACGTGATAATCACACAGAAGCAGCACAGAAATATAAAAAATAAAAACAAGCATAGCTACTTACCTCTTGCACCTTGCTAAGTTTCAAAACTTTACTCAGCTGAGCAAAAAGATGGGGTGATGGCTTGAGGCTCTTTCAAAGAGAAAAGAAAATAGTGGTACCATGTAAGAATACACCTTTATTTCTAATGTTTTTATTTTCTGCAGCTTTTAAGACAAGGGAGCTACCCTCCCCCCACCCCCCCAAAAAACTAGACAAAATTAAAAAACCCACACACACTTAAAACTTTGAAAACAGACAGTTTTGTAGAGTGCTCCTTTATCAAGGAGAATCAGATTTAGCATAATGTGCCAAAACAAGTCAGTTTTGTGGACATCTTAAACAAAACCCCACTAACCTTCTGATAGTGCAATGGATTGTCAATGGCGTAGGATAGAGTAGAGATGAAGTTTGGTTTTGTTATGAGTGCAGCACACTCCTGAATCAGAAACTGAGTCTGTAAGGAAAGAACACATCAAGTCTCACACAGAATAATGCAACAAGTCTGAAACTCAAATACAGCTACAGGTGACACAGTCAAACAAGGGGAACATCTGATCTGCCCACGTTACCCGACAAAACATCTAACATGAAAGCAAAGTTACACGCAGAGTGTGCCATACCTGATGGAAGTCTTTGCCGCTACTTTTACCATCACCGCTGAAATCAACATGTGAGAATAGACAGCGTAATAAGTGCCTGTCTGCCTCAGGGCCGTGCTGATTCACAATCTAGAAGGAAAGGGAGGGAATGAGCAAGTTTAAACTAGTAAAGGACGAGCAGAATTATAAGGTCCACAGCTATTGCTGGACCAACGGTAACCACACCCTGTGTACGGAGGTAGCTCACTTTAAAGAGACATTCACCAATACAAGCCAAATACACCAAAGCTGTTGCATTACTATCAATGGTGAAAAGTCACTTAAATTAACAGATTTACATTTACAAAGAGCAAGTGATGAGCTAGTATGTCATGGCATTAACATGCACACAGACTTCTGACATACTAGCATGCTTAGACACTGGATGCTGCGTTTCATGCGTCTTTTCTTGGACTGCCTCAGAAACCAAGCAACAGACATTCTGTATAACCTAGCCTACGGTTGCAGTGATTTTACCAACAATATCCGTTTTGGTACACATCGACCTGGTCAATGCCCTTTATTCTATCTGCCCTATGAGTGACAGAAGGGAGGCTACAGAAAGCAGCAGTTACTGGTTGCTGATTTTTGTAGAAGTTTTTATTGAAGCTTTATATTTTGGGATAATTTGGGGTAGATTTCGGTGTTAATGGGACACATTTCATTAAGTGGTCTGTGTGCAACTTCCCAATCCGTCTAACCTCGTCATGTTCTGAGAAACTGCAATAATTATTCTGAAGGTTTAAGTTCTCCTAATGGAGGCTTTTCCTGTTCCCTAACAGTTTGACTCTGCAATCTCACGCTTTGCATGAGGACATCCAACGTCTTGAGATTTCCCATAGGAAAACATTAATTCAAGGACTTCCATTGGGAAGCTTTAATGTGCACGAGGAGAGCTCTCTTCATTAAAAGTCCCACAATTGTGGTGATGTCATAGGAGGAGATCTATGAGAATTAAGGTTAACAGCAGGGGACAAGTTAGGGACAGGGACAATAAAGAGCTAGGCATACATGTCTGTATAGTAGCGTTTTATGGTATCAGATTAATCCAGTTATAGTCGTCCCATTTGTGCTGCGAGGGGGACAGTCACACCACTGATTGAAGCACTGGAAACCAAGAACATGTGGTAACCTAATTTTCAAGTTCAGCTCTGGGTTTTATGCATTTATTTTTAATGTAAAATAACAGCATAAACCAGTACAATCAAAGAGTTTCTCTCGGACTATTGGCACTTATTTTTGCACCATTTGTGCCAAAAATACTCCTCCCTGCGCCACTTGTGTAATTTGACATTTTCCTATGCCATTTTGTTGCTTACAAATATGTCACAATGTATAAGATTAAAGGGACACTGTAGGCACCCAAAACATTCAGTTCCAGAGAACAATGTTTACGTTGCAGCACTAAGTCTGCCCTCTGTGGCTTTCTACCAGCCAGCCACTTAGGGGCTTCCGGAATCGTACCAGACTTTTGGTCCGTTATCTGACGCTGGAAGTCCTCACAGACCTCCAGCGTCAGGTTTTCCCCTGGTCTAACGCTTATGCAGCATTTGCCGCGCATGCGCATTAGACCCCACTCGATGCGGTACGGAGGAGGGGCGGAGCTTCACCCAGCACAGATAGTGCCAGGAATACAGCTTTGTACAGTATCCCTTTAAACACATTTTCCACCCACTGTATGAGTGGTGAATTTTTTGTCAGGGGGCAAACATGAGAAGACAACTTATTTAACAAAAAACACTGAACTCTAAAAGAAAACATGTAGACATAGCCCCCAACCCCTTTTTTCTCCTCTGTATGCGCTCTCTCTATGCCGACTGTCAGGTATATTTGACTGTTTATAACAATGATTGACAGGATAAAAGAAAAATCCAGTTCCAGGATAAAAAGATTGAGTTCTGCATTTACAGTGTTTGAATCATGCTGGCTCTGCCCCCGATCTTCCGCTATCAGTTTCAGCCAATCCTATGGGGAAGCATTGTGATTGGATCAGGCTACAACTTCTGCTGATGTCAGCATTCAGGTCAAAAGGAAACAGGGACAAAGCCTGCAGCTTCAGGTTTGAATACAAGTAAGATTTTACTATATTTAGGGAGGCATGAAGGCTAGATGTTGGTTTTAACCCTATAGGGTCAGGAATACATGTTTGTGTTCCTGGCCCTTTAGTGCTCCTTTAAGGAAGCCGTTTTGGTGTATAGATCATGCCCCTGAAGTCTCACAGCTCCATGCTCTGCTATTTAGTAGTTAAATCACTTTTGTTTCAGCTTATGCAGCCCTAGCCACACACCCCCTGGCTGTGATTGACATAGCCTGCATGAAAACAGAATGTTTAATTTTTAATCAGATGTAACTTCATTTTTTAGTTTTTATAAAAAAAATAAAAATAAAACCTTTTAGGGTCTAGCAGGTTATTAAAGGACCATTATAGTGCCCTGAGGGTGGCCCCGCACTCAGGGATCCCCTCCCGCCGGGATGGACGGCAAGGAAAGGGGTTAAACCTACCTTTTTTCCCAGCGCCAGGCTCTCCTCCTCTTCGGCTGAATGCGCATGCGTGACAGGAGCTGCACACGCATTGAAGCAGTCTCATAGGAAAGCATTCATAAAGCTTTCCTATGGACGCTGGCGTCTTCTCACTGATTTTCACGCAAACACCTCTAGCGGCTGTCAATGAGACAGCCACTAGAGGGTTTAGAGGCTGGATTAACCCATTTATAAACAGCAGTTTCTCTGAAACGTGTGTGTGATATATATATATATATATATATATATATATCATATCTATAGAATATCGATATCCATCTATGATATCTATGTATATATATATATCCATATCATATATATATATATATAGATATATATATATATAGATATATATATATATATATATATATAGATATATCTATGTAGAATACTTCATAATACTTTATATAATATATGTATATATAGTGTCACATGCGAGGAGGTGTGACTAGTGCTGCATAAACAAAGGGATTTAACTCCTAATGGGCAGAGAATTGAGTAGTGTCACTGCAGGGGTATGATTTGTACACCAAGACTGCTTCATTAAGCCAACGTTTTGGTGACTATAGTGTCCCTTTAAAGGAGCACCATAGTGCCAGGAAAACAGTTTTCCTGACATTTAGGGTCATTAGGTCCCCCCCCACTGGGCTGAAGGGGTTAAAACTCTTTCAGCTACTTAACTTTCTCCAGGGCTGGGGAACTCTCCTCCTCCCTCTGCCAACAGCCACGCGCATTCAAACTGCCCATAGGAAAGCATTGCTTTCCTATGGACATCCAGCATCTTCTCACTGTGATTGTCATAATGAGAATCGTGGAAGCACCTCTAGCGGCTATCCGTGAGACAGCCACTAGAAGCTGGATTAACCCACTCTGAAACTGCTATGTTATCAGCTGCAGGGTTAACACTAGAGGGACTTGGCACCCAGAGCACTTCATTGACAATCTTTGAATTTTATGAGTAACATCAGTCAAGTAAGTTTCCCTATCAAATCTGGTATTGGCTGCCACACGGACTGTCATATCTATTGCAGTGTCCATGTGGCAAACAATATGTGGGAAAAACTAAAAGACCTCTTAATATTGGTCTAATGGAACATAGAAATATTAAAAAGAGGCATGACCACTCATGCTGTCCCGATCCATTGCAATGCATGTCCCTCTTTCAATTGGAGGGATTTTCGGGGTATAGGCATTATAACAAGTATCCCCATACTGGAGGGGAGGGGATAGAGATTTTAAATGGTCTCAAAGAGACCTATTGGAAATACCAGTTGGACTCCCTAGAACCTAAAGGGATGAATGTAGCTATAGATCTAGCTTGCATTATGATACAACTTCTTTTTGTATACTCGTTTTCCTTTTTCTATTTTTTTTTTATTGTTTGTACATGGAAAGAAGTTAAGTTTAAATTAGTTAATAAGGTCTGTATGTGTTTCATGAAGTGATTTGCATTGCTCACCTAAAAAAGATTTTTTAGCCAACGGTTTTATACAGCTTTGTTTTTTTATTATTTCCCTCATTTTTACATTTTTTTAACCACTTTCTAAAAAAAATGTCTATAAACAGTCACATACTTTTCAAATATGGTATTTATTATATTCTATTATGCTTAGGCCTATTTAGCCTTTATGTATTATATATTTGTAGAATACGCCATAAGGAAGGAGTTAAATGGTCAGTACTTCCTTTCATAAATTCCATATTTATATGTGGAATGTTTCCCTTTTTACAATTTTTATTGTAATTGTCTTTTTTTTTACCACCACACTTTACTTTTTTTAGTCCATGAACTTCATGGTGAGAGATAAAGTTCCCCCTTGATTTGTTTATAAAACTGCTTTTCCCAATGGATGTATGATTAATAACCCGATATTCAACCTTTTTTCTTTCTTATATTGAATATTCTATATGTTATGGTCACTTGAGCAATAGGTTTGTGTGTGGAACACATGACTATAGCAATGGAACGCATATAGCATTCAGGACTGACCGGAACGGACGCGTGGAACGCAAGCCGATCCAACTAAACAAGCCTGCGAAAATTCATACCAACAATTACAAACATGAGGACACAAAGCATGAAGACCTATTGGGAAAAACTGGCCTCTGTCCACCAATGAAATCCATCTGGAATTCAGTCACACATGGACTGCTCTTCAATTACATTGGATAACTGTATTTAATGGGACTGAGGGTGGGTGGGTACTATGCATATGTATTGCTGTTTATTTTTAACTCTGATGAAGTCCACTGTGTTGGACAAAACGCGTTAGATGTTTTAATATATTCTTTGATACTACATTTTATTAGGCAATTTGTGCCTTAATAAATGCATTTTTTTGCATTTGGATCCTGAAGTACCTGCTGACTATTTACTATCTTCCATGGTGGAAAGCAGACCAGTGTAATCCCTATGTGGATTTCAAGGCGTTTACCTGATTTCTATCTTGTGAGTGCAATCTAACATCACAGTGTTTTATTTATATATACACTGTACAACACTATGTGCTGTTTGTAGTATCAGATGGATAGAAAATAGAAATAGGGATACAGCTAGGTGCTAAAATATGAAAAACAGGCTTGAGTGGGAAAGGCCTCTAGGGAAGCTATCTACATTGTACCAAGTTAAGTACATAGCTATCTGTGATTTTGTTGATAAATAGATTTTTTGTCTATTGAGCTGAAGTGGTCTGGGTGCCTATAGTGGTCCTTTAAGTAGAAGGATAGAGAGCCTGAAAATGGCCATTTACCCTTTTTGAATATATAATATGGGTGGGTACACCAAGATAGAGCAGAACAATACTGTTAAACAGAAAACAACTTGCAAAATAGCATGAGTCTTGTTCTTAAAGGGACACTCCAGACATCTAAAAAAAACTTTTTGAAAAGCTTTGTGCGATAAGGGTTTCATTTTTCAGAAATTACAGATTTTAATGGAAATTTGCCACTTTTATAAATGAACCTTGTTACACCCCCTTGGCCGTCAGTCACCCTCTTACTTCCTGGTTTGTTTAGCTCAGTGGAACTAAACTGAAGAGGCAGCAATTGCCTGAACTGATTGGACAGCAATAGAAAGTCTGGGTGGAGTTAAAAGGGGAGGACTTGAAAAGGCTGCAGACAAGAGACCAAAAAATAATTTGCAAGCTGTTTTTAGACACTCCCCTGCCCCCCAGAATTAAAAAAATAATAAGTCCATGTATGTTCTCATTAGGGGCATATCTACTAGTCAATTTTATTTGTTTTGTATTTTGTCAGCGGAGTGTCCCTTTAATAGACAAAATATACTCAGCATAACATTTAGGAGCCATTCGCCCAAAGAATTGCCTAGCTTATTGAAAAAGGATCCAGAAAACTAAAAAATAAAAGGGCTTAACCACTGAGCCCATGCATTGATTTCCACAGGCAGGAGTTTTCCAGCAGACGCTGCTTCACACAGTTTGTGCAGCAATTAAATCCACCAGTAGCATGGTATCGCTGAGAAGCTCCACAAAGTGTCCCACTTACGTGTTGTATTTCTTGCTGGCTGGCTCTGTAGTTTTTCTTTGTTAAATTGTCCACAAGGTAACTGATTTGAGACAAGGCCAGCGAGAGCGAGTCAAGATTCATTGCTGGTTGGGGCGGAAGCAGGCGGCCGAGCCCGGCGCAAAATCACCATTATTCCCCTTTAGTCACCTCAGAGACAGGTTAATTTCTTTTAGCCTATTCTGGAAATATTAATGGTATCCTCAGTCTTCCTGGTGGTCTTGAAACATGGCACCTGCAGAAAGATAATTTAGAAATGTTATATACACTTAATTAAAACAGCCCTATTTATAGGGAACCTTTGGGTCTTCAGGTGTTCTGAGATGAAAAGGAGTCTTATGTGAGCAATCACAGCAAGACAGATTTAGAACAAACTAGGCAAAGCTGTAATGTTTATTAGTTATAGACCGTACTCGTGGCACCTCTATTAAGCATAAAATGTAAAAAAATAAAATAAATAAGTGAAGCTTCTAAAATTGGTCTAAACATAGAAACCTAGAATGTAACGGCAGATAAGAACCATTCAGCCCATCTAGTCTGCCCAATTTTCTAAATACTTTCATTAGTCCCTGGCCTTATCTTATAGTTAGGATAGCCTTATGCCTATCCCACGCATGCTTAAACTCCTTTACTGTGTTAACCTCTACCACTTCAGCTGGAAGGCTATTCCATGTATCCACTACCCTCTTAGTAAAGTAATACTTCCTGATATTATTTTTAAACCTTTGTCCCTCTAATTTAAGACTATGTCCTCTTGTTGTGGTAGTTTTTCTTCTTTTAAATATAGTCTCCTCCTTTACTTTGTTGATTCCCTTTATATATTTAAATGTCTCGTCTTTCATCCAAGCTATACATGTTAAGATCCTTTAACCTTTCCTGGTAAGTTTTATCCCGCAATCCATGAACCAGTTTAGTAGCCCTTCTCTGAACCCTCTCTAAGGTATCAAAAAAAAAAAAAAAGCCTTGAACAGACTGTCCCTCAGACTATGAGACAGCATAGAAATGTTACTTTAACCTCACTGGTGGCGTAAGAAGTCTCTAGGAAGGTGAAAACAGTGAAATTTACTGGCACTTCTAAAATCACTCTTACATGCAGACCTCGTTTCGGAGACAGCAAGTACTTTGTTTGGGCAGATAGCTGCAATTTGCTAGTATGATATCAAATTTGTCTTTCATGGTCCCCAAGACTTAAAAGGGAAGAAGAGGTTAAAAGAGGTATTAGGCTATAAGGGCCAACTATAGGCCACCACACACTTCGATGACACCGCCTGAACCATATACCCTTTGTAGCACAGACACTGGGCTTGGTGACCCGAACATGGGGCCTAGGTCAGATTTCACTTAGAGATGTGGCTCTGGCCTTCATACAGCACTGGAATACTTGTGGTAGGACTAATGATAGTTATACAGCTGCCAGAATAATGTAAGACATTGTGAAACAGTGATATAACTGCTAGATTCTACCAGATAGCTTGTCAGTGTTGAAAAATGCACCTAGGATACACATGGAGAAATCTAGCCCAACTCTAGAGCACTGGGTTTCAAAGTCTACCTACTGAAACAGAACGGGTTAATTCCTGAATCCTGGACAATGCTGGGTGAAAGAAGTTACAGTACTGTATGAAGTCAGACACTTAGAACACAGTAGGAGAGTGTTTGATTTTCAACAAAACTGTTCAGGGCAGATCCTCAGCACACCATGCGATACCAGGCCAGAGACAGGTTTAGACATGGCATAGAGTGTTTCCCCTCCCCCCTTATAAGAATAATGTTAGAATGCAGAAACTGTTATACCATCACAATGAAGGGTAATATTACAACTAAGGCAGCACAGTTTAGGACTATGCAATACACATTACATACTAGAGCAGCCCTCAGCCACCTATTCTACATAAACATCAAGCTGTATGCCAAGAATGTGCAGGATATTGGCTTACAGATCCACCTAACCAGGAAATAAAGCAAGGACATGGGGAGTGTGGGCATACGATAGCAAAAAGAGGGAAGAGGATAAGAACAGGAGTTCAAAGACCAAAATAGGAGATAAAGAACAGCCACAAGTACCTGGGGGTACTACAAACACATGGCAACCATGAGGCAGAGGCAAGGAGGACAGCAATATCAAAGTACCCACAGAGAGTCACATGTCCTGAAGTCTCAGCTCAAATGCAAGAACACGATCCAAGCCATCACATATGCCCCACCAGACAAGTACCAACTAGAATAATTTGGCCAAGAGAAGAACTGGTCACAATTGATATCAAATCCCCATGAGTGTCAAGGCCACAGTCCTAGATGAAGCACAGAGCATCCGTTAGCACATTACAGAGATGGCTCCCAAAAATGAACTGCTAAGGAAATGCCTGAAAGAGAATGCAGAAGGAGGCAGCTTTATGGCAAGACAAATCTACCCATGGGGTGTACCATCAGCAGATAGTGGATGTGGCTCACATTACAAAGTCCTACCAGTAGTGGAAAAATGTAGGCCTGAAAGACAGCACTGAGGCACCAGTTCTAGCAGCTCAGGAACAGGCACTCCACCAGAACATTAGAAGCATGGGTTTTCCACACCAGGCAATACCTAATGTACAAAGTGGCCTCTGAGTTAATCCAGCAAAAAGCAGCCGGGTGCAGGAAGTTAGCATACACTGAGCGAAATCACATTGCTGGAATTGTGTAGTGAAATATCGGCACAGAGCATGGGTTGAACTGGCCCAAGTCCAGATGGGAGACACCACAAAGGGTAGTTGAAAACGAAAGAGCAAAGATCTTGTGGGACTTTCAAATTCAGAGAAACAGGTAGTGTTCAAACAACCTGACATCATGATGTTCGACAAGGAAGACTGCAGTGGTGATGGACATGGCAATACCCAGTGAACAAAACATCAGGAAGGAGGAACATGAGAATATGGACAAATACCAAGGACGGATTTAAAAAAAAATAAGCTAATCTTACAAATAACTATATATAGTGGATCTAATTGTACTGCATAGAATAATTCACAGACTGGGAAGCTTATTTGATGCTCCTACAGACACTATAAAGGATCAATGACAACAGGATATTTCTAATCAATTTCCTTAATGGGACTTCAACATTACAGCAGCAAACATGCAAAGAACAGAGCGACAGAATCAAACATTAAATTATTTCTGAATATTTTCATGGAGCAGGCCCTTATCCTAAATAACTATACACTGGCAAGCTTCTTGAGTACATAAAACAAGCACAGCTGTGATAAGTTTGGGCAACTGGCTGCAAGTGTGGTTGTAGGGCAGATGAGTGCTATAAAAAAAAAAAAGTATAACCCCACGTGTATCACTTATGATGAAGGGGTAAAAAGACTAGAATAAGAAAACATGAATTAACAGAAGCCATTGAGCAGCACACATTACCCTGTACAAATCACGTTATTCTTGTTTTTGCATTTAAAATCACTAGATCGAAAGCTAACCTCTATACCAAGAGACAAGGTGGAAACCAGACATCACAGAACAGAGAAGTCGAGCTGACAATGATAAGGGGCCGATCTAAATCATTCTCTTAGAGCATGGGTCCTCAAACTCCGGCCCCCCAGATGTTGCTGAACTACAACTCCCATGATTCTTTAAATTACATAGATAGCCAGAGAATCATGGGAGTTGTAGTTCAGCAACATCTGGGGGGGAGGGGCAGAGTTTGAGGACTCATGTCTTAGAGAATGAGTGCTGGCCACTCTCCACACCTTGACTTTTACAATAAAGCTTTGTTACGGTGCCCTATTTAATGGTGGTTCTTCATACATGAATGTTTAATCCTGCCTGGACCAAGAAATGCTTGAGGAAAAGTAGTGAGCCATAGAAGTTTGGAGACAGTGAGCTGGCTGAGTAAAGAAGTGACCCACAGTTGTAGGCAGACAGTGAGTGGCAATAAAGAATGGCGCTGGCCGAGTACCCAGGATTTTATTGGGGCAGCATGTGGCGACTATGCGGCTGGAACAGTACCCGTAAACATTTGGTTACAGTGAAGATTTATTTAATGAGCCCTCCCACATAAACATAATATGAGTAAATATTTATTGAAAAGGACTGCTTTGAGAATAGGGGGCTGGACCCAAGAGATAATTGGTGACCAGTGACTGGTGACTATGGGGCTGGCCCAGGTGTATATTGAGAGCTGTGAGTGGTGGCTATGGGGGGCGGCCTCAAGGTATTTTGAAGGGCAGTAAGTGCTGGCTATAGCAGTGAGTTTGCTATGGGGGTCCAGCCCAGGGGTATATTGGCGGGGCAGTGAGTGATGGCTGTGGGGTGTTGGCTTTAGGTATATCAGGGCAGTGAGTGGTGGCTGCCAAGGAATATATTGTGGGTGCAGTGAGTAGGGGTTGGCTCGTGGTTTATGGTGGAGGGCAAGGATATATTGGGGCGTTGAGTGGTAGTTGTGGGGTGATGGCTCGTGGTATTTTAGGGCAGTGGTGGGGCTGGCCAGGAGTATAGCAGAAGCAAAGTAAGTGGATTATGGGTGGGGGCAGGATATATTGAGGGACAGTGAGTGGTAGCTGTGGGGCGTTAGCTCGTGGTATATTGGGGCAGTGAGTGGGGACTGGCTCCTGGTTTATGATGGGGGTGGTATTGGCAGTAGTGGGGGGCCTGGCTCGGTATATATTAGGGAGCCTGTTCAGGGTATATTGAGGCAGTGGAGTTCTGTATATTGGAGGGCAGTGAGTAATATCTATGGGGGGTGCAGTCATTGAGAGTGGGCCTGTCTGGAGTATATTTTGGGGGTTCTGTCCAAGGCATGATGCTGTACATTGGGAGGGGGCAGTCTCGGTTATATTGCCAGGTATATCATGGGGCCTGCCTGAGATTTATTAGTGGGGCAGTCTGTGTATATCAGGGGACCTGTGAAATAAATTAGTAGGGCCTGTACAGGGTATACTAAGGGCTGTGGGGCACTGAATATTGGGACTTTGACAGATATATTAAGAGGCGTGCCCGAGAAATATTAGTAAGGCCTGTACAGGGTATAATGAGGGCGATGTATATCGGGGGAAGCGAGTGGTATATTAGTGAGACAATCTAAGAGTATATTGCATGGGGGCTGCCTGATATATGTTTACGGGGGCAGTCTATTAGATATAATAGTGGAGGCAATATATGGGTATATTGCGGGGGGCTGCCTGAGGTATTAGTGGGGGAGCTGTGGGCCAGTCTGGGTATATATTAAGGAGGGGGCGGCCAGTCTGGGTATATATTTAGGTGGGGGGGAGGGGGCGGCCAGTCTGGATAGAGAGAATAAT